CTTACGTATTTCTAGTCTCTGGAGTTAATTATAATTATAATTGGGTTCAAGTACAGGATACTATTCGTGGCCCTAGATCGCATTTAYTTATAAACATAATTTGAAAGTATGTAGGTACCTTCTAAAGAACACCCCATCCCATACATAATTTGTAATCTTCAATATGTCATACATTGTATTTGTATACGTATATATATTTTATTAATTTATGTAGTAATAAAATATTTATCTAGTTTTTTCCTTGATGACTACTACATAATATTATGATTATATTATTTACAGTTTCAAAATGAGATTAAAGTTACCAACAACTTTAGGCCTCACAATTGGAATTATTTTTTACACATAAACTTTGAAAAAACGAACCGYGTCAAATATGTGTGAACGCAGTGGCGTAATTTGGCCATGTTTGTGGGGGGGGATAAAATATTTTAACATTTTACCTATACCCCCTCACCATAAAAAAAAGTATTTATTATAAGCACTTTTCAGAATTCAGAGCAATATATTTATGTACACATGAGACATGTGGAATAAATTCCGATTAAGTGTACAAATCGATAAGTTATTTTTAGTTCAATAGGACTACGGAAAAATATTAGGATAGGATAAGATAGGACAGATATGACAATAGTCTTTCGATCGTCGTCGATCCACGATAAAATAATACTTTACTGCTCGGTGGTTTATTTTTGCACCACTACACAATGCATAAACAAACTCAAAACTTACACAAAACATATTGCAATAGTGATACTTATAAACTTGCTAACGAACTAGGTACGAAGTATTTATATACAACTAGCATAAAGGATTTGTTTTTTTTGTATTATTTCTATAAAGTATAAAGTATAGGTTATTTATAATAATATTAATTCGCCGAGGTATTTGATTTCAACATCTAAAGGTCATGGGGGGGGGGATACGACACCCAAATCCCCCCCGTAATTACGCTACTGTGTGAACGGACTAATTCAAAACAATAATGCCTCACATAATAATACAGTTGAAGATATTCTTTTAATACATTTTCCATTACAATCATTTCATCTATAATTCATGATATTATTAAGACGTTACATGAATAAGTATGGACTATATGTCTAATTTTGTTAGTTATGTATATTTCATTGATTTTAATTAATTTTGGGACCTAAAATAAATATATACCTACCTACTATTGACTATTGTATTTAACGTTATTATTACTATGAAATATTAGTTATTTCTAAATTGGCTATGAACATAGGCGCCCGCAGGGGGGGCAAGCTAGGGCATTTGCCTCCCTGGCTTTTTCAAAATATTATTTTTAATTGAATGTTTTAAGATAAATTACTATATACTATACAACAAATTTAAAGTATAAAATATATTATATTGTATACGAGTATAATAAAAAAGGTTATTATTTTAAAACACCTAGTAAAATTATAATATTTATCCTCAAATCCTAACATTGCCCCCTCCCTAGAAAAAATTCTGCGGGCGCCTATGGCTATGGATTACCTACAGACATTTTATTTTTACATTTATGTCGTTTTTAGTAAATTTACTACAATAAATTAATTAACATTTAATTAATATTTAATGTAATATTAATAATTTGCAATCCATCGGACGCTTCAAGGCTTTGGAATAAGTATAAGGACGATTTTTTGGACGATATTCGGYGACAATACCATAGACAACACATGGAAAATCATTTAACAGACGATGAACTTTATAATAAATRTTTTGTATTAATTGAAGATTTTGCTTTGAATCTAGGTGGARTTAGCTTAAAAGAATATGGTTTGCCAACTCCTACAAGATATTGTGGGGTGTTAGAAAATAGAGAATATTTAAAAGAAACAAGCTATGATTTAATTGCTTTACATGAGATTGTTAAGTAAAATGAACACTCGTTGACTGAGGAACAGTGGTTTGTTTACAAACAAATATTAAATAGCATCAAATTAAGTTTAGGAAAATGTATATTTTTGGATGCTCCTGGCGGAACCAGTAAAACCCAATAAATCAATCTACTTTTGGCTAAARTAAGAAGCTCATATTATGGGATAACAATTGCAACTGCATCATCAGGAATTGCTGCTATGCTTTTACATGGAGGAAAAGCTGCTCATTCTGCTTTCAAGTTGCCACTCGATTTGAACACCATCGATATCCTAACGTGTAATATTAATAAACAATCAAATTTGGCGAAAGTCCTGAAAAATGTCAAGCTTATAGTTTGGGATGAAAGTTCAATGTCTCACAAGAAAGGATTTGAAGCTTTAAACAACCGTCTGAAGGATCTGAAAAATTCAAATTTATTGATGGGAGGAGTCACGGTACTGCTCGATGGAGATTTTCGACAAGCTCTACGAGTCGTACCAAGAGGAACTCGAGCTAATGAAATTGTAGCCTGCATCAAGTCTTCATATTTGTRGCCTTTAATAGAAAAAGTTTCTTGACCATAAATATGCGAGTACATTTAAAAAGATACATGATTGCTAAGCAGTTTTAAGAGTTACTCTTAAAAATAAGAGATGGAAAATATCCGGAATATGAAGAAAAAATTACTTAGCCGATCTGATTAGGTATTGTTGTAAAAACTATAAAGGAACTCACAGACAAAATATATCCAGAGATCAAAAACATTAAAGGTAGATCAATGGACTGGTTATGTGTGAGGGCCATATTGACATCAAAAAATGATACAGCAGGGGACATAAACAAAATATTATAGGACTCTTTCAAAGCAAAAAATATGGGATACAGATCAGTGAATTCAGTTACTGGAAGTAGATGATGTAGTTAATTATCCAGTTGAATTTCTCAATTCACTCAACCCTCTTGGATATCCACTAAATTTATTAATATTAAAAATTGGATGTCCTATAATGCTTCTCAGAAATCTTAGTCCACCAAAATTGTGCAATGGGACATATATCCGGTGCCGGCAGTAGAGTCAYTGGCGCCCTGGGCGAGTAAACAAATATGCGCCCCTCCCCATATAAATAGTAGTAGTTTTATTTTAAATTAAAAATTCAAGTGCTATGATTTTATGGTTTCTTTACTTACGTCAACAAATCAAATTTAAAGAACATCACTTATGCTTATTGTACTGCTTATAAATAAACATATTATATTGCATTATTTCATATATAAAAAAAAAACAATCAAAAAATTCATATTATATTACAATTAACATTTATTTATTTATTTTATTATTTATATTAATTTTAATAAAAAAAAGAAGATTCTAAACCTTGATTGTTTTAAATTTTAACATTATATCATTGAGGCGCCCCCCTTTCACTAATCGCACTGGGTGTCGCCCACCTCTAACGCCGGCCCTGCATATATCTATATATGTATGCAATGAAAAAATATTTCATAAATGGGCCCAGAACTGTACATTCTTACCAGTCTTACCCCTTTAAATCTGGTTCAATGATGAATATAGTAGGTAATAATATAACATCTAATAAATAATACATTTATTTATATTAATAATCTATATGTAACCAGAAGGTAATTTTTATTTTCGTCAGACGTTTAAAATATCTATATATATAAATGTATATATGATAATGATAAACGATACACCTATTTCATCATAATAGGTACTATCTTAAATTTAAAACGGCCGTCAAGCGAGCCCGGTGATTTTTTGTACTTAATTAACTTTTTGTTCCCGACTCCCGCCGACCGCCAACGACCAAACACGTCACATCGTTTCTTACATAACGGAAAATGTTACCGGCGCGGTGCCAAAAACATTCAAAAGCGTATCCGTGCTATAATATATATAGGCACCTACCATATTGCGTTACTTCTAGATATTTTTCATTTTTTTTCATCTCCAAATCGAGAACGAACGCGCCCACGGGAACCGTGTTAAATTGCAGTTTTTATTATCTATATGAAACACCGTCCGATAAGTACCTACGTGATGGTAGTTAAATAATACTAACTCTCCCCTACTATCTAATATAGACAAATTTAAAAATAAGTACACGCAACATGCGTACACGGTCTATGCACAATAAATAATRATAATCGGTGTTCGGTATGACGGTGTTATGATAACGACGAAATTACAAGAACGGCAGTAGACCAGCGTCGGGACAGATTGCGATAACAACGCATATTTTCGTATAAATATATTATTATGACGTATAAGACGTATTAAGAACTATAATAGCTTGTCGTAGTAGCTACTATTTTTATTAATGTAACAATATAATGTAATATTTTTTATCGCGTGCTATCGCTCATCGATATTATATTTATTATTTACTATATTATTATGGACTCTAGTAACAGTAGTAACCAGTGTACTGTGTTGCTGGTCGAGTSAAGGTAGTGGAGTTACAGAGGCACACGTATATCAGCACTCTAATGTGTAGTTAATATAATATTCTACTAAGCAAAAATAATGAAAAATACTGACAATTTAATTGTATATTATGTTATGAAATATAAAATATAAGTCATAAACATTAATTTTTAACGTTTAAACGACATATATATTTTTATTATAATTATATTTTTGTAATCTTCATAATATTGTATTATCATTTCCATTAGGTACTTAATATATTAATAATAATATTTTAAACAGCCTTATCTATACTCCGTACGTAGTAATAATAAGAGTTAAGACGATGATGACTGTCGCGGGGTCGCGATGCCGGTGGTGCCGCGGTGGTAAACCGTCTCACTACTACTACACTACTACTACTACTACTACTACTACACTACTACTACTACTACTACTACTACTATTACTCTCACTACTACACACTACCACAAATAGTTCGTCTACAACAACTACCACTGCCAGCGCCACTACTACCACCAACGTCGTGTCGTTAAGTGTGTGCGCGCGCGTTTGTGTGTATGCGTACTTGCACCATGCGTGCGAGTCTGCGAGTCATGGGTGCGGACGCCCTCCGCGTACCCATCGACAGTGCGAGCGGCGAGTGCGTGCGTCCGTCCGCTCATCGGCGGCGTCGGCACTTCGGCAGCGCGCGCACGCATTAATACTGTTTTGCGTCTGTGAGAGAACTGGCGGCTTGCGCGCCGCGGTCTGTACGAGTACGTGCGTGCGAATGTGTCTCGATGCGCGTACGCGAGCCAGTGCGCTAGTGTAGTGTGTACGCTTGTGTGAGTGTGTGTGCGCGCGCGCGCGCGTGTGTGTCAGGTGTGTCGGTGTGTCTGTGTACGTGTGTGTGTGAGTGATTAGAGAGCGATAGCATCGTTCCGTGAGTTATGTACGGTTTTCTCGCCACCGTGGTATAAACTTGAGTGTGTGCATGTGTGTGTGTGAGCGCCGTGCGAACTTTTTGCCCAGGAGCGATTCGTTGCCGTCGTCGCCGCAGTTTCGCCGCAGTTGACTGTTTTTCGCGTACGCGTTTTTCACACGCGCGGCCCGCCATCGGTTTTTCTTTTTCGCGCCGCGTCCCCGTCGGACATCATTCGTGTGTGCCGATTGCCGACGCCACCACCGCTGCTGCCGTCGTTGTGTTTATCATCCGGTCGGTCGGTCACCCGCCCTCGCGACAACAACCTCGACGTTTGCCGTCGCCACTGCAACCGCCATCCATTGCGGCACTTACGTATTGTGTTACTGTGTTAAAACAACAAACAATATATTGTTATTGGGTTGCTTCGTCATACTAGGTACATCATTTTTTATTATTATTATTATTATTATTATTACTATTATTATACTATTCATTACCTATTATAATATTTGTATCGTTTGCGTGTGGACGTGTGTGTGTGTGTGTGTGTGTGACTGTGCATAATATATTTAATAATATGCGAGTGTCGTTTTTGTGTGTGATGAAATTAGCGATTTAAATTTAATGGTGATAAAATCACCGTAATTGTGCACCGCGGTCCGAGCGCATTGTACTCGTTTCAATTTAACATCGATCTCTGTTTTCTTTCGTGAAGGTTGAACTCGACCACCGTATTTGCAGATCTCGCATGCCCGTCAGTCGGCCTGTGACAAATTACTGAGATTTGTTAAAAACAACCCATAGTGAGATAAGAACGATAAGGTCGGTCGGCGTCTAAATGCAAACTCGCAATAGTCGCGATCTTCAGTACACAGAATATGCACTTGTCGTTTGCCGCGGCAGGTATGTGAGATATTAAAGATACCTTAAAAATCTATGCTCATCGCYGACGTTAATGCATAGTGTACTTTCTGTGGTGCATAAGTGCATCGCGACTACAGATTGATTGACGCGTTTCAGTTTGTGATTATTAAAAATTAGTTTTGAGCATAACAGACCTTATACAACCTCATACACAATCAGTTTTGTTCTCCGTCTCACTCGAAATTGAATTCATWCAAGTGAAATGAAACTGAAGAATGTGCATACATGGTCTTTGTCATTCATTCAGTCGTGCTGCATCTCATGTCATCAATGTAGCGGTTATCAATAATCGAATACCTATGTTTAAATTAACAGCTACAATTCGCACCATATGATCATTTCTAATGACAGACTGTTATGGATGTCGTTGAATCAGCTTGAACAATCAAAACATATTTTGATTATTTCATGCTGTGTATAATAGAACAGTCCTTCAGTTTTGGTCACATATGGCAGAGTTTGTTGTTGAAGTAAAATGATAAATTAAATGTGTCGTGTATGGGCTCTGCTTTATTCTTGGATAATGTATATGAATGGCTCTCAACTAATACATCAACACATTGATGAGTATCAATGTCTTTTTATGTATACCTATTGTCTATAAATCTATTATATATGTATTTTTTATAGTCACTATGGTGGGAATACAAACTTAGAAATACCTATGTTTACCTATAATTAGTTGTAGTAGGTAACTGTTTCTTTATTGACATTTTACAAACTATGAGGTTTTTTAATAGTTAATACATATTATTATTTATTTAATCTCATTGCATTAATTTTGATATTTGACAAATTTTTATTTTGTTATTTAGTTATGTAAATTTTTAAACATTATAAATATCGACAATTACTATAACAAGGCTGATATTTATTTTAAATGTTAGTTAAATTTTAAAATAAGTTATTATCTTTTACTCTTGAAATGTATATTGTTTAATATTTATATATTATGTAAAAACTATTTTTTTTTTTTTTACAGGTTGAAAATTCAAGATGTCTGTTTATTTTATCGTGTAAGATAAGATAGCTTTATAATATTATGACAACTGTTTCTAAACAATGAATCATCTCAATTAGTGATTTATTCTCGGATTTATCAAATTTTAACATTTTCATAATTTTTATAAAATTATTTGTATTCTCTGCATAATTATTTCAAGTTATTTATAAAGACTGTAGTGYGATAGTAAATCCAATAAAAATTAATTGTCACTACTCGGCATACGGACAATGTTCATTAAATATGCTAGTTTGATTGTATCACAACAGCATCATAAATATCAACAAAACGACGGTCAAAAACCACACCGACGTTTCATTGCTTCAATACTCAATAACGATCCAAACAAACTGTTTTCATATAGGCCAATAGTTGTTGGTTTATACAGTTGTTAACTGAAATAAAAGGTTATTCTTGAAATACAGTTAACAAAATGCAATTATATCAAGAAGAGCAATATTAATAAAATAGTAATTATATACATTATATATATTGTGTTTCTATCGTTTAATTGACTATAGTCACAAAAAATTTATTTGAGCTCTGATCATCTGTAAAAGAAAAAAAGATTTCGAATTTGCTTATATAGAGCATGTCAAACACGGCGACTACTGCTTCTAGTGCTGGTAGTGCTGCTAGCAGTGGAACTACTGCATCAACTGGTGCGGCCACAACATTTGTCGACCGCATCGACCCGTTCACAAAGATATCTGTGTTAAAACGCAAAACAAAGCGTTCACAGGGCTCATCGTCTTCTTCTAGATACCGTACGTGTTCAGATGTCGAATTACAGCCTTTACCATTGTTAAAGGGTTAGTAAAAGTTTACAGTAAAAATATTACTAGTTAATTTTTATAAATATATAATTTCTATATTTTTTTCACAACTTACAATTCTTTCTCTTCAACGAGTTAACCATAATAAGATTCATCTTTCTATTTATTTAATTTAGTATAATACAATATKAGATAATTTAGGAAAAATGTAAGATATATTATATAGATATTAGTTTATTAAAATTTGTCATATTTAGGTAGGTTATTAGTTATTTTAAAATACTGAAATATACAACTATATAGGTACATAAAAAAAGTAACGATTTTTGGTAACCAATATCTATGACATATTTATTTAGGTACCTTTGATAGTTTTAACATTTTTGAAAATCAAAAAATAATTATTTAGATATTCAGGAATTGTGCTTTGTACGATTMATTTATTAATATTTAACYATTGATCAGGTTGTTGAGTTTTTTTAGGCGTGGCATTTCGTGTGAGGTCTAGAATTGCTTTAAAGGAGGCTTATACCATAGRTCAGCATTCCTCTTTAGAAGTTTTTAATGTTGTCCAAGGTTTATAAGGGTTAATATTATGTAGCCTACTAAGGCATACCTACAGTATCTGAATATTTCAGGAGTATATTATATACTTATTGATTTTTGAATTTTATTTTCTAAAATATCCCTGTATTAGTAATTAAAAAAAGTAACTTGAGAAATAGTTAACAAAATATATTATATAGTCTAGAATTTATTAGTGATTTTYATTAGTCCATTTATTTAGCCTATTGAAAATAGATAAAGCACATTATATAGACTTTTTTTGTATTACGATAAGTATAATTTTTATTGATATAAGGATCTGTGATAAAGTAAGCCCATAATAATAATAAAGTACTTCTTCAGTTGTACTTGTTTATAATTTATTTACACTAGTGTTAATTTAAAATGTGTTAATAATTTTTTTTTTAAGTACCTATAATTATAACCTTAAAGACACTTACAAATGTTGGATTAAAAAATAATGTGTACATATATTTAAATTAATTAAATCAAGTAAACAAGTCTGACTAGTTAGTATAGTAAAAATTTAAAGTAATAAAATAATAATGCATAGTTAATTGAAGCTTGTATCATTGATCTGTACACATATGTATATATTTTAATAATGATACTTAAACAAAATAAAGAGAATAAAAAATAAAAAATGACTGGTAATGCTACTAAAATTAAGTTCATAAAATTGTTAAGCCCTGCTTAAAGTTTAAATACTTAAATATTATAAGTATTTGTTTTATTTTATCATCCAATTTCTTTAAGAAAAAAACAACTTTAACAATCTGTTTGTTAGTATTAAAGATGATTTATGATTATAGTAAAGTTTTTAATTATGTTTATCATTAGTCTATGTGATTTGTGTGATTGGTATATACAACATAAGTACATATACGATACACACTATAAAATCATTTGAATTTTTCTTACTCRGATGCAATTTTTTTCTCCAGATGTAACTGCTCAGGAACAAGAAGAGTTAATGATAAGAAAACTCCGACAGTGTTCAGTGCCTTTTGATTTTATGGATCCCATGGCAGAACTCAAGGGCAAGGAAATAAAGCGTGATACATTAAATGAACTGGTTGATTATGTATCAACGTCACGGGGTGTATTGACAGAAAATATGTATCCAGAAATCATTAAAATGGTATGAAACATAGTATACTTCTAAGATGTTTTTTTTTAAATAATAATCATCTCTCTTCGTTTTATTTTTTAAAAATGTAACTATTTAATTAGAATCATTTTGTAAACAAAAACTAAAAAGGTAATCATATTTTAGCCATAGTCCACAAGTTGCCATTATATTTATTTTGTGGTTTTCTATCATCAAATATTTAATTTAACTGTTATAAGTTAAGTATTTTTAAATATTAACCAATTTATTTTCTTAATTCTTAATATTAGTTAACAAGTATTTACTTGTTTTATATTATTGTATTATGGCTTGATTAAAAAATGATTCCCTGAAATTTGCACGAGAGTTCTTTAAATAATTAGTTTTAAGAATTTGATTATACTAGATTTTACGTGAGTGATTAACTTTAAACTTTTCAGTCTAGAATAATTTTAACCCTTGATTGATTAAAAACTGCTTGATTTTCTTGAGATGACACAACACGAGTAGCATTTTATTTTTAAATCAGATAATTGATTAATGAATATTTCGGTAAAACATTTTACTAAGATAGTTTAATTTACCATACCTATATGTTAACTTTTATATATATTTCAAAATTCTTAGGACATTGTTCATATATTTAATCATATGTTGATTGTCGTTATTATGACGAAATACAATTTTTAACGAGATTTTAATCATCTCTTGATTTGTTGCTCCAAATATAAGTAACCTAGTTAGTTTTTTCAAACAAAATAAAATTAGTTTTTTTTTACAAAAGTGTCTGAAAATGATGACTAAACAAGGCTTATAAAAAAACTAAACACAATTATGCATGTAAAATTAGTAGTTGCTAAATTCAGACTTACCTTGAAACATTTATCCTTAGCAGTGACATTGATTTAAAAATTATTTTTGAAATACTATATTACTATCGACAAACTATATTTAGAAAAGTACACTAAATAMAAATTGTTAAGCGATATATCTTGTGATAATGCTTGTATTACAATAAGTGGTCAGGGGTAATAATTTTTATCCTATACTCATAGTTGAAGGCTAAAGGAGAATATTTGGTTGAATATAAATTATGAATTGTTTTATGTTGATTTTATAATATGCTTATCAATCACTGAACATTTTAGCTGTGACAAAATCAGTATTGATTATTACACCCTTAATTTTTTCTGATTAACTATTATTTTAATAAAAATGAAAAAACAACTGATTCTTGAAAATACTATTCTATAATTCATTGTTTGTTTAGATTTCTTCAAATTTGTTCAGAACACTGCCGCCCAGTGATAATCCAGATTTTGATCCTGAAGAAGATGATCCTACATTAGAAGCATCATGGCCTCATTTAACAGTAAATATATGCATTTATTAAATAAGAAAGACAAATAGTTATGAGCTTTTTTTAATTTACAATTTATTATACACGCATAACTTACTTAAAAACTGAATTATCGTTAAAAAACTTTCAACAAAACACAGATATGCGTGTGTGGTGTCTTATTAATTATGTTGAATTTTTCTCTATTTTATTTATTCTGTTAAATAGTTATAAGATAAATCAGCAATACTCAACTTGCAGGCTGCCAATGGTTTTTATATGTRACCTAAACAGAACTCTTTGAATAATTTATAAAAAAATTTTATAACTAATATAAGTATAAAAGAACAATGAAAGTGTGTCCTATGCTATTGCGATTAGGATGATTATGTTTTTGGTATTTTCACTATTTATATTTTTTTAATGATTTTTATGTATTTTATCTTATCACATGTTATACACAAAATATAAATTTATTTTTATTTATTTTTAACCCTCGTTCTGTTCATTTCAACTTTCAGTCTGTGTAATATTTTAAAATATTTTGTGGCCCAAATAAAAAAAAAAGGCTGAGTATGGCTGAGCTAGATAGTTAAAATAGATTATTAGTCAATATTATTAAATAAATTTATATTGATTTATAGTAAATATTTTTTTTTACACTGTTATTTATTCTAAGTTGGTTATTAGATTATAAAAAAAGTGGTATTATAATTAAGTAGAGATAAAACTTTCTGTATCCAAGAACCCTTAATATTTTTAGATTCAAACACTAAGATGGAAATATTATAGAAAAAGTATTAATAAAAAAAAATACATTTCATTATGATAACACACTGATAATTAATAATTTATAGTTGTTCATATAGTTGACATTTATTTATCTTGAATATTGTGGTAGTTTTCTAATCATTAATCTTTTTTTTTTAGCTTGTTTATGAATTGTTTTTACGCTTTTTGGAATCTCCAGACTTTCAACCAGCCATTGGCAAGAAAGTCATTGATCAGAAATTTGTGTTGCAGGTAAAAATTACTGACAAGAATAAAAATATTGAGAATGTATAAATATTTTATTAATTATTACTAACTATGAACATATTTATATAATGAAAATAAGTGTAGTGAGTACATACCTTATTTTAACTACTCAATAATTTCATATACAAGTAGACACTGTTTAGACAAAGTAGTTACAGCTTGTTGTGATACTGTTTTAATGTAAAATATTTTATAGCTTATGTATTATTCACCCCAAGTTGTACTTTTTTAAATGMTCATAAATGTTTCATAATATTTTGAATAATAAAATTGTGAATGATAATTTGAATTTTGTAAATTGGAATTGAAATTTATTTGTATAATTTTATTAAACAATTAATAATATTATAATTCAACAATATTAGCTGTCTTAAAATAAAAACCATACTATTTAGTATCTTATTTTCATACTTAATTTGCATACATTAAGACCATAACAGCACATAAATTAGCACTTCATTCACAGTTAGTTGATTCCACTTTTTAACACCTATTTTTATTACACAACATAGTAGAAACCATAATAATATGCTGTGCTTATTCAATTAATATCACCTCTTACTGACTTATTGCTTGATTTTAWTTGTTGAGTAAAATGTACTATGTTATATAATACTACTTATAAAAAAAATGCAATATAGTGATGTGCTTATTTTGGATTGTGTGATATAGCTGTGACTAGACTTTTCGAGAACCAATCAAAAGCCACCTATTCTTAATAGACACTAATTTGTCCGTAAAATTTTCTTAACATGCTCTGAAATTGAAGATTTTATATTATTAGCAGTCAGTGATATTGAAATAATAATAAACCTTTAAAATAAAACCTAACATACATTGTGACTTTAAAAAAGATTTAATAAGATAAATTGATAATTGTTAGTTATTATATTCATTATTTACCAGTAATCAATATTTAATATTTCCAATTAATTTTGACTCAAACATTTATTTGTTGGTAATAATTTTTGTCTAATGATTATGTAGTTGATTTGACCGTCTGATGTTCAGATCATTGTGATTAAAATGAGTATTTAAATAAAATTTAAAAATAGTATACTTTTATAATAATTAAAAATATTCTAATAATBAATTTAATATATTACATAGCTCCTTGAATTATTTGATACGGAGGATCCACGGGAGAGAGATTTCCTCAAGACTGTGTTGCATCGCATTTATGGAAAATTCCTGGGCTTGCGTGCTTTTATTCGCAAGCAAATCAACAATATATTTTTAAGGTTTGTATTTGTATATAATGAATTATATAATTAGTAAAAAGAAAATAGGTACTTGATTTTTTTCAAAAATATATCTTAAGAGTACATAACAGTGGTATTTGTTGTCTCCGTCTTACCTGTGCGTAATATAGCAAATTCACGCTCAGCAGAACACTTGTAGCTCCTTTAGTTTAAAAATTATAAAGAATCGACGTATTATGAAACTTGATGGTAAGTACATTATCTGTGTTTGTATGTTGGTTTTTTACAATAATTTAATTTTTAAGTGAGTTATGATCATATAATATACAGTACATTAAAAATGCTCATAACTCACTTAAAAATTAAATTATTGTAAAAAACCAACGCACAAACACAGATAATGTACTTACCATCAAGTTTCATAATAGGTCGATTCACTGTAATTTTTAAACTAAAGGAGCTACAAGTGTTCTGCTGAGCGTAAATTTGCTATATTATGCACTGGTATGACGGAGACAATAAATACCACTGTTACATACTCTTAATATCTTAAATTATTATTGTTAAATTAATCAAAATAAATTGTGTATTTTAGGTTCATTTATGAAACGGAACATTTCAATGGTGTTGGTGAACTATTAGAAATATTAGGAAGGTAATTTACTTTAATATTTATTATTCAAATTTACAATTTAAATGTAAATTAATTTTAATCAAGTTAATATAAACAAATTTTTTGCCCACATTAGCATTATCAATGGGTTTGCACTTCCTTTGAAGAACGAACACAAGCAGTTCCTGGTTAAAGTGCTTATACCTCTGCACAAAGTCAAATGTTTAAGTCTGTACCATGCACAATTAGCGTACTGTGTAGTTCAATTTATTGAAAAAGATAGTTCTTTAACTGAATCTGTCATTCGAGGCCTACTCAAGTATTGGCCGAAAACTTGTAGCCTAAAAGAGGTAATATAATAGATAACCCTAGCCATTTAATAGATTTTAAATATATTAAAAATTACCTAATATTTGTTATAAATATTTTGCAAATTATTTTAACTGAAGAATTGGATGATTCCCAAATTATTTTTTGTATAACGGAATAATTTATGGATTTAAATTAATAAAATACTACATTACCTATAGAAGATTATTTATCATTGTAAATAATAATAATACAATTTTCAACAATATTAACGTTTTTTATTAATAGTACTTATTTTTTATTATTTGTGTGTAATAGTTAATTAATTATAATTTAAACTTTTGATTTACAGGTTATGTTCCTCGGTGAAATGGAAGAAATACTCGATGTTGTTGAACCATTACAATTTCAAAAAATTGAAACTCATCTATTTAAACAAATTGCTCGTTGCGTATCCAGTGCTCATTTTCAGGCATGTTTACTTTAATTACAATGTTTCTATTATATTTTTTTTAGAAAAAAATTGTATATACAATATCTACTATTTAATTGCAGTACCAATGCTCAATAGTTTTTTTTTCAGTATTGATTTAGGTTTTAAAAATAAAATAATTTTGATTTTAGTTTTAATTTTGTATATTGAAAATACAAAAAAAAAATGATTTACAGTTTATGTGAAAACTGTGTATTAACTACAACAACATAGAATTTTTTAATTTAAGATTAATTTAAACTTATACAATCTGTAATAACAGTTATATTAAGCATATGAGCATAGAAAAAATTKTACACATGCTATGATGAAAGCTAAACTAAATAAAAAAGATGATATTAAGATTTATTAAAAAAAAAGTGTTGTGAAATTAAAAAAATAATATACTTACAGATCATCAGATATTGATTTTAGTTTCATTTTTTGTAGTCTAAGAAAGTTAAGAATGATTATCAGAAGGTGTATTGTTTCTAATTTATTATTTAATTATAATACTAAACCTTAGTATAAACTTTGCAATTTATAATTTTTTGATTGTTTAACTGTTTTCATTATATAATGGTATTTTTGAATTTAGGTTGCCGAACGAGCGCTATATTTGTGGAACAACGAATACATTATGAGTCTGATCGAAGAAAATAACCAGACAATCATGCCAATCATGTTTCCAGCGCTATACCGTATCAGTAAAGAACATTGGAATCAAACCATTGTAGCATTAGTTTATAATGTACTGAAAACATTCATGGAAATGAATAGTCAACTTTTTGACGAATTAACTGCTAATTATAAAGCAGAACGACAAAAGTAAAAACGTAACAGTATTGTGTAATATGTTTTACAATAGTGTGGTTTTTTTACAGAGAGAAGAAAAAGGAAACAGAACGTGAAGAGTTATGGAAACGATTGGCACAACTCGAAATATCATCTAGTGGCCGTGGTAAACCATCTGCAGCATCACTAATATCAGTAGATAATAATAATAAGACTAGTAGTAACAATAGTTTGGATTCTCTACAAACAACTGTAACAACGGCAGCTGCACCAATAGCAGCATCTCCAATTGCAGCACAACAACAGTAGTATGAGTGGTAGTAGCAGCGATAATTAATATTTGTAATTCAATACACACATGTGTCCATGTATATGTATAATCTATATATATATTTATATACACACACATTCATATGTATGCATGTGTATTAAAGTTGTGTACAATTAAAGATCAAAATGTTATGATTTAATGTGGTGGAATTTTGAGATAATGCAATGAACGTACAATGTTGTTATCGGTGCGCATATACTGCTGTGGTGTGTTTGTATGTGTATATTTTATTTTCAATAGTATTTGTATGGTAATATGTGATTACATATGCTCCACATTAAAATCATGTTTTACAATAAAAACATCATTTGAGAAAAAGAAATTATGATGAATGCTAAAATAGTAGAATATAACATATTTGAATGCTCTATGAATGTTTATTTTATGTGTAAAAGAATTTGATATAGAATGAAATATTGATGATTAATTTCATATGTGATGTAAATCATGTTAACATGCATTTTATTATTTTATTAAATGTATATTATGTGAATTGTTTGAATATGTACTCATAAAGTGATGTTATCATTGCTATTATTCTATTGATTTGATTTAATCACAATAACAATCAACATGTGTAAACGCGTATTACTAATGCAAAATGTGGCGTTATAAAAATTTTAATTTTCGATTTTTCAATGTAAATTTAATTAAATTAGATTTAACCCTCTTCCCCTGTGTAAGCGTTTGCGTGTGTAAATAATATTAGGATAATTAAATATTAAAAATTGTTATTTTTTAATTATATATATATATATATATATATATATATATATATATTATATAATTTATCATGTAAACATTCTTAACCGTTAGCAATAGTGGTAGTAGAACTGGTGGTAGTAGCAGTAAGTGTAGTAGTAGTAATAAAAATGGTAATGGTGTTATTAATAGGAGCTTAACAATATAATTTTATAACAAAATACTTAAATTAGCTAATCTCACACATTCTCATCTGTACATAATTTAATGATTG